GCACATATGAAAGAAATATCACGTAAATAGCAGTCTATATAACTAATACATTTATTTCAACTGCGCGGTATATTTTTATCGTTACTTTCATATAAAATTGATATTATGGTGTACATATAATAACATAGGAGAGACGTAGTATACTAATTGTTAGACTTTAAAACACTTTAAAACTATAAAATAGTAATAAAACTAAAGGACAAAGTATTGAAATTAAAGAAATTAAAATTCAGATGCTTTAACGTACAAACAGAAAGTAATTCAATACAGTATACCATATTATGTTAAACAATTAGTACAACTTAGTAGCAGATAGAATATGAGACCTAAGTACCTAATTAAAAAGATATTACTATAATATTACGTGTATAACATATTTCGTCTTTTACTATCATTAGTGATATTATTCTCCTTAAAGTATCATCGGTAATATAATCATATAATACTATTTGCTTCATAATACTTCTCCTTCACTCTTTATCCCTACTATTCCTTTTTAAAATAGACAGTGTAAGGGATTCCATTATCTGATTAATATATTAATTTATTAATTCAAATCTATCATATAAACTTTCAATGATCTATTTGTATCTTTTTGTACGTAACAATTTGTCAAACAATTTAATTATGATCACATCTCCCATTCTCTAATCCATTATTTTTCAAACAAGTAATCTTAAATCTTTGAACGTTGATATATCTCAATTACAAAGTGAATGAATGAACGATTAAATTTGCGTATGAAAATATTCAGCATGAAAAAAAGTGTTCAGTCCTTACGCTGTTGCCGTAATAGCTGCACTGGTTACGTGTCAATAAACGGCGATTCAGAAGCAATTGCTTGTAAGGTAAAGCGTTTCTAAGCGATCTAAGTCGTAGACAACGGTAACACGTCGTGCACTTGCACTTTTTAATGCCAACGTATTGCCTGGCTCTTGCATACGCATCGTATGCGCCATCGAAATTCAAAGCACGTGGTAATGATGTTTGAATGCCAATGGATTGGTAGATCGATCACTTGTGCAACATTGACACAAAAATAAATTGGCCAACTGGCGAATGAAAATGGAGATGTACGCATAATAAATTCTCCTGTGGTTGTTCTTATGATCATCATCTGTCTATTAAATAAATACAAACGTACAACAAGATATTAATTAACATCGTGCCATGAGATGGCTCGTCGATTGCTCCGCTATGTTCTAAAATTCCAGTACGTCCTTGTGATGATTCTACGCTGGATACGGGTTGATTGGCTGATACTCAACAATTCCAATTACCAATCAGCGTATCTAACCGGTGTCGCCCTTAACATGCCTTTCTCCGAAAAGGATAGGTACCAATATGCAATCGACGAAATTATGCACCGTTACGAAATGTACTTCAGGTTCTACTTTTCGATTATTGAACTGTTACAATCAAATTTATCTTTCGGAAACTCCTGGTTCATGTAAAAGTTTTTACGATATTTGGAGCGAGAGACACGGATTTCTGAAAACTCTAGCGATCACATCGGATCATTTCAACTACCTTTTCCAGAATGTTCTTTAACGAGAATTAATGAGAATGTACTTTGCTAAGACACTATATGAGAATGCTACATTCAAAAATAGCTTCACTTCATTATTGTGTCATATGTGGTAATAACGATGGCATCAATAATTTGAAATAAACTACGTATCATAATGTAAAGCAATTGAGAATTGTTTTCGGCATTTATTTTTGTCTAAATACTTTTGGCAAACTGTAAAACGTTACTTTAATTCTTAAGTAGATGGATACAGTTGTTGCAAAAAGTATTTGTACGGATTCCTTTATTACAAAACTACTTCTTTCTGAATATTTTGACAATACGTTTCGTTCTTATAATGTAACATTTTTGTAATCATATGAAAATACTATTAAGCGATACGCAAAGTAATATACTTCAACCTAAACAATTCGTTCATAAATGCTAGAGTAATGATAAATGTTACTGTATATCATGTTTCTTAGAGAAGTTTAAATTATTATTTTATTATCAAAATGTAGTAGAGGATTTGAATAATTAGGCTTTAATAGTTCTATTATTAAATATTTTAATTGTAAAAAAATTTGACAAACAAATATATTTCCCTGAACAAAATAGTATATTAAGTTTTATAACACAATAACTTGATACATAAATAAGATAGTCAAATAATCGGAAAAACTATTCGTTTATGGCAATGTCTATAATATAGATATTTGTAATTAAGGATTAACCTCTTGTGATCGACATATTTTTCTAATCGTACTACCAAGTGGCGACATCCGACCGCAAAGGATTAAAATTTCTACGATTAATAGATAATAATATGATGGTTTGAGTTCAATATAATGATGATTTATTTATTAAATTTTTCTATCGTACAATGACAGAATTTTCATGCTCTATGAACAAAAATTTTTAAGATTTAGTAGATCGTATTTAAATTTTAATTTAGGTATTTCAGTATGGTAAGCTTACATCAGAAAGAATTTTTTATCATACTGGCCAAAGTTTACTTCGACTATAACAGGTTTTGTTAGGAAAACGTTTTGTTAGGAAGTCCTACATTATCTCTGGATATGCAGTTACGTATAACACAGAGTATTGTGATATACTTAAAGCTATAAAATTCTTTCATGTTTAGTAACTTTACCTTGAATGTAATATTTAAAGTGATAATACAATATAATATCATAATTCAAGGTGAAGTTACTAAACATGAAAGAATTTTATAGCTTTAAGTATATCACAATACTCTGTGTTATACGTAACTGCATATCCAGAGATAATGTAGGACTTCCTAACAAAACGTGTTATAGTAGAAGTAAATTTTGCGCAACATGGTAAAAGCTTCTATAGAGTTACCGCATTAACAAATATTGTGTTAAAGATTTAAAAATACGAATTAACGTTATTGGCTTTTTATTCGATGCAATAGTTAAAGGAACACTATTAAGCATTAATGAACAGGGCCAAGAGGACCGACTTTTTCCTAAATCACCAAATATTACATTTATTTTACATTACATATTACATTAAATATTACAGATATTTATTTATTAAGAACTTTAGAAAAAGTTGTAAAAATGAATACGTGTTAGAGATTAATGTACAGTATTTTAATCGTTCAACGCTACATTAATAATAGTAAAATATCTCATCCTGCTGCAGTGCAAGAAATATTCTCTCCACATGTACTACTCTATATATATAATAGACAGCAATACACAATATCATTGAATTTCATCATCCAATTAGGGGCAATTTAAAAACTAGTTGATCAGTACAAGAATTACTAGATTACCTAAAATGTTCCAAATTATATAATAATTTATAATCGTAGCTTTTAATTTGTGTGCATTGCCAACAGCTTTTGCAAGCAGATACTATAACTATAGACGATTGAAGAAAAAAAGAAATTTCTGATATGATAGATACAATTTTTTATCTATTTCATTTTTCTATTCGTAAGAATGACCAATAATTTCAAATGAAGTCAAAGAAAATATCACAAATCATTTCTGCGCTATATCAGATAAAAAGCAATCTATTATTATTTCATATTTATGATATAACATTTTAACAAAATATTCATGAACCTATATTGGCACCATTTAGCGGTAAAGGCCTATAGAATATCCTGTATAGTATACACAAATACATGCAACGCAATTTGATTTAATAATAGAAATTATCCTATGAAGCAACTTATACAGATTGATACAAAAGGAGAATTACCTAATTTTAATAATGCCATAATTTTCCATTAATTTTATTAATTGGACCTCAATGTCCATAATTAAGAACAAACATATATACTAATGTGTAGGTAGCGTCAAAATATAATTTCGCTTATGAGCGAAATCAAAATATCTAACGCAAACAATAACAAAGCATATACAGATTTTAGTACATTAAAATTGTGACTTCATAGAAGAAAAATTTAATAATATTCTACTGTAGTAATTAATTACTTTACTAACATATTTAACAAAATATAAGTAATAATAAAGTAAAGTATTAACATACATAATAAACTAGACACAATACGTAACTACATTTGCAAGATTTAATGCACTAAAATCTGTTCATTCTCTAGGAAAGCGGTAGTGGACAAATATCGGAGTCAGTACAATCTCGTTCGTTCGATACCAGTTAATTATCCGGAATTACGTAACGCGAGGAATTCTGATCGATACTAGGACGAATTTTGGGGCATTTGCTAAAACCAGACAGCCGAGAACGAGGAAAATAATCGAATTATACGGACAAGCACGCTTCAGAGTGACCGATTAATTCAGTCGTTACAGTGTTCCGATATATATCGTACACGAGAAAACGTGTACCTATTCAAATTCATTACTTTTGTACAGATTTCAAGAGCATAAATTACAATGAGATTCGATCTTAATTGCGAAAACTTAGGATAAATTCATGACGTAAATGAATTCGCCACAAGTAAGTCGTTGTAACTAATGAATGTGGATATTTAAATTATTATATGTATTTATACAGAGTCTTCGAACACCAGGCTTGATTTCATGATAAATCGCCATAACGTAGAAGAGTTGAATGTTGGGATTGAATGTTTATGAATTATTTTATTCTAAGTAAAACGCGGCTTAAAATATTTGTCTCTGAAACGCGTACATAAATAAACAAGAACAAGATATATAAAGTTTGACTGAATTTGGTAAATTGAAATATTTTGCAAACTCTGTAATACAATTTTATTACCGAACCATTTTCTCTAAAATGTATAAGACGAAATTTTCTATGACAATCATATCTATACATACAGTGAACGGAACAAAGAAACAAACAAAGTGAACATAAGAATATTGTTTGAATTATTTATTGTAAATGGGAACTTCTGAATTAAAACCATTTTCATCGATATATTTTTTGGTCCTCTCGTTGCTTCGCATTCTTCTATTACATGTCTCAGGTCTTCTTCTTTCCTTCTACATAGTCTGCATCTTTACTTTCCTCTCTTTTTTCCAGTATTCCCTTGCTTTGGTCTCATTTCCACGTCTGAATCTTGCTAATATTTTTCTATCCTTCCACTTCATCCTCCCTTCTAAGTATTTTGATAATGTATATTATACTTGGATTTCCTTATCCTTTTCTTCTTCTCTTCTGCATCTCTCTTTCTTCTTTCTTCTATAATTTGGTAGACTGTCATCCTTCCTTGCTCTTCTCTTGCTTCCATCTGTGTCCCTCCATTTCTCACCTCTTTTAGTCCCTTCTTTCTCTTTCTTGTTCTTTTCCCTTCTTGTCCATTTTCACAGTTTTTCTCCCTTTCCTTTATGCACTCCTTTACTAATTCCTTTTTTGACTCTAGGGCTTTCTCTTCGTACCTTGCTGTTCTTCTTAATGCTTTTTCTTTGATTTCTGTTAGCTTCCATTCTTCTATCAATATATAATTCGGTGTTGTCATATTTAAACCTAAGATCCATTTCACATATCTTCTTTATATTCTATCTAGTCTTTCTTCCATGTTCCAGGCCCATACCTCTGCTCCAAACAGCACCACACTCTCTACCAGTGCTCCAAACATCTTCATTCTCCTCTTGTAGTCCTGTTTGAAAATTCTTTCTCTCACGCTCCATGTTTTCTTCATTGCTATTGTTGCTCTGTTTTTCCTGTCTTGTATGTGTTTCTTATTACTGCCGTTTTTCTATAGTATGTACCCTAGGTATCTTATCTCGTCCACTTCTTCTAATTCTCACTCTCCCTATTTCCATTTTCTGTGCCTCCTCATGTTCTTTCTTTTTTCGAAAACTACTATCTTGGTCTTTTCCGTACTCAGTCCCAATTCTTTTTCTTTTAAAAATTTTTTGAATCTCTTTCCTTTAGCTTCTCTTCTCTATCCACGATCAGCACAATATCGTCTGCATATGTCAATGATCATACCTTTCTTTCTCCTACCACTATGCCCCCGGCTTGTCCTTTCCTTAATTCTTCTTCCAGCCCTGCCACGTGGATATTGAGTAACGTCGGGCTCAACAGGCACCCTTGTGTAACTCCCCTCACTGTCCAAAATTCTTTTGTGTTGTGGCTCTTGATTCTCACCACATTCTTTGTTTCTGCGTACAACTCTTTTATCCTTCTAATTAGTTTTTCGCTAATCCTCATTTTTCACATTTTTTCCTCCAATTTCTCTCTGTTTAGCCTGTCGAACGCCGCTTTTAAGTCTGCAAAGCAGACATATAGCTTACCTTTTTCTCTACTCAATTGTTTGTCTATGATATGGTTTATTACAAATACCGCGTCGGTCACTTCTCTTCCTTTTCTAAATCTGAATTGGCTCTCTTCTAGTTTGGTTTCAATCTCTGCCTTCAGTTTTTCGTCCAGTATCCCTGCGTAGATCTTGTATGCTATGTCCATTAATGTTACTCCTCTTTTCGCTATTCTCTTATCCTCCTTCTTGTATATCGGACATATTACTCCCTTTTTCCAATCTTCTGGTATCTCCTCCCCACTCCATATTTTCCTTAACAAATCCCATAACGCTTCCCCCACTTCCTTCGGTGCATACTTCCATACCTCATTTCCTATCCCGTCTTCCCCCATTGCTTTCTTCTCCTTCAAGTTTCTTAGTTGGTAGATCACCTCTTCCTTTTCTATATTATCTTCTCTCTCCTCTATTATTTTCTCTTCTGCTCGATGCTTTTCCGTTTTTCTGTCCTCTTTGTGCTCTGTTCCTTCTAAAATTTCCATAAAGTGATTTTTCCACTCTTCTTCGCTTATTTCTTCATCTATGCCTTCTCTTCTTCTTCTATATTTATTAATGTATTTCCACGCTTTTTGTTCTGTTTTGATCTTCTTGATTTTCTCCATTTCTTCTTCTTCGTGTCTTTCTTTTATTTGTTTGCACCACTGTTTGAATGCCTTTTTTTCCTCTGTAAGCGCTTCTCTAGTGCATTTTCCTTTCATAAACTTTGTCACCTTCCTTCTCATCTCTCTTTTCCCCTCTGTCCACTCCTTATCGTACCACACTTTCTCTCCCACAACCCATTTCGTTATCTTCACTTTCTTCTTTGGCATTGCTTTGTTTATCTTCTTTTTGATTTCTGTCCACATTTCCTCTACTGTTCTTCCATTGCAGATCCAGTCTTTACATTCCTCCAAGTATTTTCCCACACTTGCGTTTGTCCATTCTCTTTTCTCCTTCTCTTCTTCTTTCTTTTCCTCATTTTTTTGTAATTCCGGCCCTCCTATCTCTATTCCTAACGGCATGTAGTCCGATTCTGTTCTTTTTCCTACTTTCATGTCAATTATTTCTTCTGTCGCCTTCTGATTGCCAATCACATAGTCTATTACTGAGTTTCCTCTCCCCCAATACAGGTTCACTCCTCTCCTTCCTCTCTCTTCCAGATATTTTAGCAGTGTTCTTCCTTCCATGTTTATTGTCTTTTGATCGTCTGTTTTTTTCTTTCCCTAGGTCCTCGTTTATCGGCCCTCCCTCTTCTCCCGTTCTTGCGTTCCAGTCTCCGCCGATGATCATCACTTCCTCTTCTCTTCAGTCTACTCTTTCCTCTATTTTTTTCCATGTCCCTTTTGTATCTTGATTATAAACCACCATTATCCTATACGTCTTGTCATTGTATATTATTTTTCTTTCAACTATATTATCACTTATTTCTTTATATTCTATTCCTCTTAGTTCTTTATTTATACCCGTTATTATTCCCCCCTTTGCTCTTCCTTTCTTCCTTACTTCTTCTCTTCTCATTGCTGCCCTGCATTTCCAGTTGAATTCTTTGGGTAGTCTATATTTTAATTTTTCCCATTTACCTTTCTCTATCTATGTTTCCGTGAGTCGGATTACGTCGAATGTCTTCAGATATTCCCACACCTCCTTGTCCTTATTTATTAGCCCCGCTACATTCCAGAAGCACATTTTCATCCCCTTTGTAGCCCCCTTTTCCCCTTTTTAAATTTTTCTTCCCCTCTCTTTCTTTCTTTCTCAGCCTTCTCTTCATTTTCGTTGTACCATTTGTTCTCTATTTTTAATTTTTTGTATCCTATCTTTACATATTCACCCTTTTCCCTTCTTTCTCTGACTACCCTTCTTATGTGTTGCTGTACCTCCCTTTCTTTTTATGGACTGACTATATATAATATGATAATTATATTAAAATGATCGAGAGAAATGCAAGTTTAATAAAAGTAATTAATGAACGAATTACGAGTTACACGAAAATTGCTACGATTTTAACTAGAGAGTCATGCATCCAATGAAAGTCTATTTTAATTGCATTGCAAATTTAATGAAACGTGTTACATACTGCCATCCGCATACCGCGGTCCTGTTTCGTATAATTAAAACGTCACTGCGGCTTGCTGGCGGCTGAAACGAGTTTATATGTATTTCTTTATATTAACAAATCGCAAGGAAAAATCCACGTATGGAAATGAAATAATTCGTCGAATGGTAATGGGGAACGCATAAGCTTGATTGATTGATAAACTTCGTTGCAGTTTATTCATGATTCATTCATAACATCAAGGTAAAACAATTTCCTTCTGAATGGAAGAACATCACATTTTTCAATAAACCGCCTTTTCTTATTGAGAAAAAATATAAATTTAACATAGAAAATCTCGTTATATTCGTCGTGTGGATATTTCAGCTATATTTAGATAAGTAACAACAGTGACGTTGATATATAGTAATTATAATATACATAAAGAGAGTTTGTATTAAACTCTATTAATATATGGAATAAAATGCAAGAATAAAGTTTTTCTATTTTTTTATTTAAGAAAGGTTAAATATTTTATGTATATTACTAAATAACATGTTACTTTACTTTCTTCTTCCAAAATTTAATGATAATTTGAAAGTAATCTTAATTGAATATCTTTTCTTCTTTTACTATAAGATTATTTGTTTGATATTAAATACAGGACTTAAATGATTTGTAAATAAAAGTCTTTATTTTTCCTGGATATTAATATCAAGATAGATTACAATCAAATTTCACAAAATATTTAAGATTTATAAATACATATATTACATTTCAGTATATTTCATATAAGTAAAAAAGGATTTAAATCATTAGAAATATAATTTCATTTAATTTTATTAACTTAATTCTATTTTGACTAATTTTGTATCTTCATAATTCAGGAAAAATACTTAACATCTCATAAGACTTAATATTTCCTTCTTTATATAAATTCAATCAGATTAAACATAAATATAAATTCATACAATAAGCAGAAATATATGAACATATGCTAGAAAGTATCAAATTATAGCGGCGAAAAATTTTAATTTATTTAATATTATACATATATTTCCTAATCCTACAAATACTATTTGCAAACTATACATTAACGCTGATTAAACACAACATTACCCCTCTGAATCTCAATTTATATCGTATATTTTCAAATTATTGTGTATTAAAGGAACAAATTAATTATAACGTTTATATTGCTCCCTTATATGCTTTAATTCATCTATAAGTCAAATTATGTTCTGCATTACATCCTAGTTTTATTAAATCGTCCATTTAATCATCCAAAATTCCATTAAATCTATCCATCATTTTTGAATATTTCACAGTTTAATTACATTGTATTTTAGCATTTTAGATCTCAGAAATTCACTCTCATTTAAATATTCATTAACGTAGAAATAAATAGGATGAAAGAAGCTTATTGAAGAAAGAAGTTATACTATAGTAATATCCACATATTTATTTTTTAATTGATTATTTAGTTGATAATTTGTTATACAACATTTATTAAAAATATAGGTACCGTTTGACATTTTTTCATGAAGTTATTATCAAGCTCTCCTTTTTTATATAATATCCCATATTGTTCCGTTTGAAGAAACAAAAAATGCGAGTATTTACATAAGTGACTTTACGACGCATGTTTTCACAGACAAGAAGCTATTTTTGAGTCGGATCTTCAGCACTTAAAATGATTTTTGTCAGTAACTGTATCAATGTTTTTAATTTTCTATCGTGTTTTCATTAAACGAGCACAAAGCGTAAAGTAGTTGTGGAGAATTAGTCGTTGTTAGGTTGAGGGAAATAACGAGAGCAAAATATTGTTGTCGCAGTCCGTCAAATATATTTTGAATAAATAAATAAATTATTTAGAGACGAATTGTGAGTCGTTGGTACAAATATAAGTTGCGGAATAAATACTCGATAAATGGTCGGAGAAACTCTGTGGATCACTTCGGTACTCGTTTATACTCGTTGACGCTCTTCGATACTGTTCGAAAACTCCTTCGCTCGCGATCGCGTCCGTCTAGTATTTATATTGGTCGGGGGAAAACCGGAAAATTTGAATTCGTCTACGTTTGACGGTTGTATGTAGCGGCGACATTATTTTGCCCAGAGTTTATTTGTTCTTGTTGAAGTGGTCACCACTTATAAGAAAACTCCACATCTGGCCTTTTTAGTTTTCTCAAGCACTGAAGCTATCGACAGCGCGTAGACAAAAGACCGCGACAAAGTCAGACCATAAACGGTAGTTGGCTTCGGAGTTTTCAGTTATTGGGTAACACAGCTAGCGTGCGGATCTGGACCAGCTAAAATTGTATTCTTACTTATAATTACACTTCTATTTAAATATATTTTCTGTCTTACAATTTATCCACGTGTTTTCTCTGTTTACACATCGAA